ATCAAATCTGGCCAGGAGAAAAACAAGAGCAGGAAGGTGAATGTGCCTTTCACAAGCCCAGTAGACATGTGAGCAGCTAACCCACCGATGGGATCCTCTCTGTCCACAGCCCTCTCTGTCCCCGTGCCCTGGCCACGGCAGGAGCGCTGTGACCCCTGGAGGGAAGCCAGGGCTGCTTACGTGAGCACAGCATCCAAAGTGATGTCTTTGCAGTTGTGGCCCTAGGCCCCGAGGAGAGACTGCTGAGATGAAGAGAAAATGAGCCGAGCACACCCTCCGTGAGGTGGAGCTTTCAAAGAGCTTCTCACCATGCTCAGCGAGTGGCAATGCTGCTAAAAGGAGGGCAGCCTGCACAACCGTGAGCATCGAGTGCTGCCGCCCCTCACTCTACCTCTGAGACCCTACTCCACAAGAGAACCCCTCACCCTCTGTTCAGGTGATGATACACTGACAGGAGGACTGCTCAGATTATGATAAAAATGACCTTCAAGGAAATCAGACCCGGCCATAGATGGCAAGGGATTCTGGATGGGGGGGACCTATCACCTGAGCTTACGCAGCCCCCAGGTAGGCCTGTGCCTGAACCTGCTGGCCCAGGATTCCCTCCAAGGCAGATTCCCTGTGCCCAGTGGCGTATTGACCCCAGAGAGTTCAATGGTGCCACTTGCCTCCAGCTGAGAGCCCCCACCTGTGGACACTGTGTAGAAGAGAAGGTCCCCCATGGAGTGCATTGATACTATGCTGGGTCACACGGCTATGGGGCGCACCACACAGAATCGACAGATGCAAGAACTTCGCTGTTCTTGTATTTGGCTTTAAAGGTAGGACAATGAGGAGAATTTGAATGGGTAACTAAGCTCACCCAGAAGGATAAACCAGCCTGTGAGTTGAAAGGATTGGAAATAATAAATCCAAGCTCAGAGGAAGGAATTGTACTAGACCTTAAATTCTGAGCACCCAGTTTGCAGAAGGCTGTGGATGACAGCAGCGGGAGCCACAAATCCCTTTACAGGGTCCCCATGGAGATTAAGCCTCTGTTGATTCTTTCACCTCGTTGATCGGAGATCTGAATAGCCTTGCCCTCAGACAGAGGGCATCAGAAAGGAAATAAATGCAGCCTCACTTTTAACATCTTGCCATTTGTTTTCCCTTTGAACCATGGTTTAATTTGCTCTAGTTTTATTATTTTCTGCTTTCCTTTGGATTGAGATTGTGTGTGTGTGTGTGTGTGTGTGTGTGTGTATGTGTGTGTGTGTG